ACTGCAACAACAACTTTCCGTTGGTGAGGTGTTGTTACGGCCCTATGCTCCACTGGGAGTTTACAGGAATAAAATAAAAAATAAAATAAAATACCAATGTCTTATGAGAAGTATAATTGATTACAATGATGCTTTGCCTGCTGAAAAAAGACATTCATACCATAACAATTGTTATTGTAGAGTTCTGATTACTAATGTATTTGTTGTGTCCCAGCCAGCCTGACAAGCTTTGAATTGAATGAAATGTGTCATTGACAATGAATAAATCAATCATAGTGTGGTTGAAATATTATCATTATCTAATCCTTGAAAATCTTTAAAGGGCTAAATAAAAAAATTCAGTGTTAAAAAGTATAATAGACTTAATATGAATGTCTTATGACAAGTACAATTAGAACAATTTACATGTTCGACTGTAATCTTGCAAGTCACCTGATTATGAAGTAGACCCCTGAAACATTCACTCACCTAAAGCAGCTACTCAGTGGCTCAACACTTTGTATGGTAGGGTCTTTTGTGTAGAGATATGGGTCTTTAAGGGTTAAGTTAGTGTTGTCAATCTGCAACAACAGCTGTCCAATATGATAAGATGGCACAGGGGCTCGAGTTGTACGGCAGCTCAGTTGACTACTGCTGGCAAGTGGTCTGAAATACAAGAATTGGTCTGAAACCTAGGATGTAAAAGTAGCTTCCAGCTTAGAGCAAAATTTAAAAACATGGTAACTTAATATTTCAGTTCGAAATAATGTATATCCATGCCTTAAACCACTATCATGTTGTTATAGAAATAAAAAAAAACATACAAATTTTTGAATCAAAAACTTAACAAACGTAACCTATGCTTAACATCTGACCCAACGGATAATAAGTCAACCTCTAATTTTGCCTATGAGTGGAGGTATAAATGGTTTAAAACTAAGAAGCATATATGCACACAATACTTTTACTATGTATACGTATTACTTTACAATTAAAACAAATGAAAACAGTCTACCTTTCCACTCGGCATGGAAGATCATCAAGGAAAATCCTCACTTCACTTCCTACATTCAGATTGTTGCCACTGAGATAGACCCGCGTACCTCCAGACTGGGGGCCAAGCTTAGGGTAGATATCCTCAAGCGTAACCTCCTTTAAAACATTAGAATGTAATATCATCTTATTTATTCACCACTTGTTGTGTCAACAAAAATAATTTGTTTTAGTGTAGATTTTCTTATAAATTTCTTTCTAAACACAGATCATCTATACAGATGTAAAATAAACATGAAATACCAGCATTCTCAGGAGTAGTGGTCCCTATTTTTAGTAGTTGTAGTTGAAGAATTACTTGTCAAGATGCTTATTCCCATTTTGTATTTTAATCTTATGGTTCAAGTACATTAATGATTTACAATTTTTTAACGTAAATGTTACATATCCTAAAGTTCCACTGAACTAAGTGATTTTAAAACTACTTGACTTGTGTAGTTGTGAGAAAATATGTCCCAAACCACCTGAAATTAGTAAATACAAAAAATCACGCAAAAGATAATTACACAAATCAGGGAAAGGCAAATATGGGCCTTCCATTATTAACACAAGGCCTTCATGGTTAATCATAAAGAGACTCAGGTGTCATTAATCACCACAATGGATTTGTGCTGTCTCACAGTTTGCTCGTTATTAAGCACTACCATTAATCTCTCAACTTATTCATTATATACATTATAAACAAAACACACATTTGTCATTTTCTAAAGCGATCTATCAAACTAACTTGGTATCCTACACTTACTGCTGGGGAAAAAAAACACGTGATGATGACCTAAAGAGGTAGAAATGTTGGTACTTGTTTTGTGTTTGAAATGTCATTCGTGGGTTTCTTGTCGTCATGAAATAACTACATTATTAGTTGGGAGTCTAAAAGACTCATATTCTAATTGGATACAAACTGATCCGTATCACTAAACTTCTGACATTGTACATTACATGTATTACTAGTTCTCACTGAAAGAAATTCACCAAACATTTTCTAACACACGAAATAACAAGTATAAGACTTTCTAAAGCTGATTCTAAAGCAGGTTTATGTTTTTTTTAATTAACATAGTTTCTTTTTATAAAGATAAAATGGCTGTGTAAAAAAAAAAAAAACTTTGATAATCAAAGAATTTATACCTGCAAAAAATACCATTCCCAATCCAACAAGTCTGAACTTTCAAAGTTTAATTTTTTTCTAAAAGAATAAACTTCTTACACCAATTTCTTTTTTTATATTTGAAAAACAAAGAAAAGTTTGTTTTCCATTAAAGTTCTAAAAATTAATGGCTGTTACCGATTATCGGCTATAAATATAGCCAAATGGAACTGGTAAGATGCTACGGTAATTAAATGTGATGTATCAATCATTAATTTCTGATCTAATAAAAAAAAAAGAAGATATATTCATACCTAAAGTATTTAATTACAGAGATAAGAACAAAATTCAGACATCTTTAACACAAAAACTGTATCACTATACCTTATAATGAAATATCTCCTGAGCTCTAGTAACTCCTGCTTCATTTCCAATGATTACCATAGCTTCCATCGGAACTAAACTTGATCCTGTTTGACACGCCACCCTAGAAAAACAGACCCCCTATTTTAAAGTACTTTTTAACAGGCCAGCTTTTATAACTACAACTACTACTTTTGTAATAGGCCAGCTTTTCTAACTACACCTACACCATGACTTTCTTTTAGTCTGATTACGTTTCACACTGATACGAATCAAAAGTGTCGGAACCGAGGGGTGCTGTAGCACTTTTACATATTTCACTTATATACCAACTGTAAGCTATATTATTAATTTTCTGGGGGGCATGCCCCCCCGACTCCCCTAGATCAAGCAGCCTTCGACAGCAGTTCCTTATACTTTCAATCTCTCATTGTAAAATATGCATGTCTAGCCAAGCACCCCCACTTTGCAACTCCTTCCTAAACCACTAGGAATAAATAATAATTGAAATAAACAAGAACAGTAAAAATGTTTAAGACAATACCAAGCACAGTTTCTTTTAATCAGATCCACATTTTCATAAATATTTCATCAGTTCATTTACAATATATCTTTATTTGGCATTTCTGTAAGCTGAATGTTTTGACAGCAACAAAAAAACCTATCATCAAGTTTAATAAATACTTTTTTTTTTCAATATAAATCTCTATGTTATTGATATTTTTATGTCCACTGATAAAACTACATGATTATTTATCTGCCTGCTTGTGTATTTCATGTACGTTAGTCGAATTGTTTTTTTTTATCTATCCATCTCTTACCCACGTCTTTATTCATTTAATTGTTTATTTACCTGTCCAAACACATAATTATCAAACCTATCTTTTACCCAACTAGCAAAAAAACTGGAAACAATCTCATTTTTGGAATTTTGTATAAAATAATCGTTGTTTTTTTCTAAATTGTGAGTTTTTTTAATATTTGGATCCATGTTAACTATTGTGCTTATTGAGTTACTTTGTAAAAGTAAGTTGAATTATTTTATATTAGTTAATGTCACTTATAAAATAGGCCTAAAACAATTTATGACAGTGTACAAGTGTTCAGACTTATAGAAATGTTAAGAAAGAAAATAATTTATCACGGTTACATGAGCTGGATGTTCAATTTTCACCACTTAATTTTTAAAGATAGAAAAACGCTACAACACAATGAACAGGATGAAGCACAAGAATTGACATCTACCTCACTGAAACACTGTAATCTTTCGGTATACATGGTATACATGATATTCACAACAAGGCATTCAGTGTATTTTAAAGTATGTTATAGCTTCTAGAGAATGAAGCACAAGAATTGACATCTACCTCACTGAAACACTATAATCTTTCGGTATACATGAAGCACAAGAATTGACAACTATCTCACTGAAACACTGTAATCTTTCGGTATACATGAAGCACAAGAATTGACAACTACCTCACTGAAACACTGTAATCTTTCGGTATACATGGTATTCCACCAATCATGATTTTCCCTTTAATTTCTTCCTCACTAGATCCAAGATTGGAACCTTCAATCGTCACCAGTGTTCCTCCTTCAATAGGCCCACTCAAAGGATGAATCTACAAACAAGTATACGAGTTCAGTGAAACTTCCAAGAAATTAATCTCCATAGTTTGACCCTTCAATATTAACCCCTTCTGTGTCAAGACTTTTTTGGAAATGAGCTTGGAAAAAAAAAAGTCAGTTTTTTATTTTGCTTTTTTCATAGACTATCTATATAAATAATACTCTTGCATTTGTCTGTCCAGAACTTTTCTCGCACATTTTATAATTAAATGCTACAAGTTAGAAATACCTTTGTCTGAGGAGTTCAGATAACATATTGGCTTCTCCATTCAGAATCACCGTACCTGTTTTTTGTCAAACTCTTCAGTGCAACGAGTATGGTACATGATGGCACAATGTCATTGTCATCACGTGAAAATTGGCTCCAATTTCAACTTTAGTTGTTTTTTTTTTCTATTTGCAAAGTATTTCATACAAACAACATTTAACCTGCATGTAATTTCCTAAAAAGGAAACATTACACTAAATACAATTTCCATGGGCTTTCTCAAGTTATTTAGGTCTAAAATACAAATGCACAGTTTGTTCAAAACCATATGATTATCACTTTGTGAACACACATTCAGATGTTTCTGCATATTCAGCTAAGTTTGCCTTCACTACAACCTTACATTTACATTAGTTACAATATTTTAGTTTTGGTTTGTTTCATAGACTGCTATAAACACTTTTATTCTTCATTTTCGTGAGTTTCTTTGTTTTAACTTATAAAACACAGAGTGCTCATAACTGATTCATACTCTGTATATTACTATAAATACCATTACTATACTTTATTGTTTACTTTACGTGTAGTTTTATTAAATAAAGTTACATTTGTATGAGTTTGTTTGTCTGACTGTGCAAAATTTTTTCTAAATAGACTAGGATTTATCGATGTAACACGTAAATCCTGCAAGAAAGTGTAGCTTCTATGCCGCGTGTAAAAATGATAGAATAAGGAAAATTCAAGTGAAGGACATGAAAATTACTGCAAATGTTTTGCGGGTTGCAGCTAGTACTTATATATTAATGAAAGAAAAGTTATTATATTTCTACACAAAATATAAATGTTATGTATCTGGATTTATACGTAATATGTATAACGTCAACAAAACTGCAGTAAAGAATAGGATTGTTGTTCTCTGGTGTTTGTGATACATAATTCAGAATAAATCTGAGAGATCAACACAAACAACATTTCCAGTGCCATCTAGTGAGCACTGATTGTAACATGCGATAACATGAAAATAAATGGTTTGGTTTGTTTTGAATTTCTCACAAAACTATATGAGGGCTATCTGCACTAGCCATTCCAAATTTAGCAGTGATAAGCTAGAGGGAAGGCAGCTGGTCAATACCACCCACCACCAACTATTAGGCTACTCTTTTACTGATGAGTAGTGAGATTGACTGCAACATTATAACTCCCCCACAGCTAAAAGGGTGAGCATGTTCAGTGATGGGGAATCGAATCCGCATCTCTCAGTTTGAGAGTCAAGCACCTTAACCACTATGCCAGGCCTTGCAAGTAAATTCTGACAAATAATTAAAAATACAGTAAGAGATGGTGTGCCTGAATTAACATGGAGGGCACCTGAGTTATTGTGGGCAAATAACAGAAGGGGTTAACCCAAATTTTTTCTCAATGTGCTAATATATATATAACTATACTTAATGAAAAATGTCAATAAAATTATGTTCTTCAAAAAGTTATTTATTCATACATGTAGAAACATTTTAGCATTGTCTGAAATATTATTTCAAAAAAATTCCTGAAATGAGTATAAATGATATCTTTAAATTTTGCAGAAGTCTTTAAAAAAGTGTGTCACGAGTTAATTATCACAAATGTTAGAGTGCCAAACAAAATATAATTTGTACGTTCATAGAATTTGAGCTGTTTAAATTCAAAAATTATCATATACTCTATGTGAGCACATATGCTTATATACATATGTTTACGTAATACACTTTGATAATTACAAAAATTAATTTTTGCTGACAAGTTATTCCATTCTCTTGTTACGTCACTCACCCAGAAATGTTTAAATTTAAAAATTACCATATACTCTGTGTGAGCACATATGCTTATATACATATGTTTACGTAATACACTTTTTTTGCTGACAAGTTATTTCATTCTCTTGTTACGTCACTCACCCAGTCAATGCGGGGCCGAGGGCAAGAGCTAAGAATGGGTTCTGTACAGGAACCACTATAGTTACAATCACTTCCACACCAAGCACATTGGTACTGGCTGCTTCTAGTTAGACACAGGGAACAATCAGCTCGTCCTCCATGACTCCCCAGTAGGTGGCACTTATACAAGGTTACTACATGGTACAGATAAACAGCTTCTTGTAACAAAAGTATGTACTTTCACATAGTAAACAATAAATATCTATATTTAGATTTATTTACAGCTAGCAGTGGATGATTGGAAATTTTCTTATGTTAGAATACGTACAATGTTTTGACCACTAGTGTGATCACTTTCAAGTACAATACAGAACAACTGAATTGAAATATTACTATTTGGTGAAAAAAATCAAACAATCATCCTCGTTAATATATATACCTGTGTTTAAAGTTGGGAGATTAACATAAATAAATTATACATTTTGCTATGTTACAGCTAAGTTGTTAGAAAACTAAATAATGAGAATGAAATTCCATAGAAACTACTTCTTTGTCTCAAATAAATCACCGCTCCATAAGGTTTAATACACTAGAAGATCCATTTCCAGTTTATCTAATTATAAATAAATTAAAAAAAACGTGTATTCTCGACTTTTTTGTTTCGTATGAAATACATTTATTTTGAACTTTTTTTCTCTTCTTTCTGCTGTTATTAATTATTTCCAAGATAATATTATTGCCAGGCAAGAATGATATGAAAATCTAAAACTTTAAACCATTTTCTTCACATGTGTAATCAGCAATTATAAATTCTCGGTTGATAGTTGAGATTTCCTACCATTTAGTGTTATCTTAAAGTAATATATAAATCTAATATGATACATGTTAGTTTTGGCTGCAGAATAACTTGTATATCACAACAGGCGTATGTACGATCTTACACTGTCATAACAAATGTTAAATCTCACCATTCTTGTCGTATGCCACTACTGACGGGGCCTTTCATTCAACTGATGTTTTTGTATAACCCAGCTGGCCTGATGAGCTCTCGTACTGATTGCTAGGCCTCGTCAGCAGTGTACTATGTACGATCTTACACTGTCATAACAAATGTTAAATCTCACCATTCTTGTCGTATGCCACTACTGACGGGGCCTTTCATTCAACTGATGTTTTGTATAACCCAGCTGGCCTGATGATCTCTAGTACTGATGCTAGGCCTCGTCAGCAGTGGCATACAACAAAAAGTGTAGTTGAAACACTTTGGTACATTTTTCTTATTAAAAATCTGCACTGTACCAATAGAAAATGCTGCAAATTAAATAATGACCCATGAACTAATCATACTCTGTCAGCTACTAAAACAAAATTCACTTACTGTTAGTACTGTCAATAAAAGTATCTTCATTCCACACAACTGTCAGAGTCGCCTGCATCTCTCCGATACCAGTCTGATACTTGTACTAATAAAGCACATGGAAAACACAACATTTTGTTGTGTTTTTTTATAACAAATGCATAAAATTATATAATAATCTTAACCCCAATTTGAAAATAAAATGTCAAGAAATGATTGTTGCAATATTTCTTGGAGCTTTTTCAAACACAGAAATCAGTATCCAGCACAATGTTAAAGTTTTCACGAGCAGAAATTGAAACAAAGTTTATAGACTATTGACAAAGTCTTGTATTAAATTCATTTTCTAAAACTTAATACGTGGATTTTCCTAGATATAACATCACTTTTAAAAAATGGAAAACAAAAATGGATGAAATAAACTATTATTAACTCCTTATCATCCATGGAAGGGATTTTTCCATTACTGTAGCAATGCTTTGACCACAACAAACTAGGCATGAGGCCCTTAAATGGCATACGGGTAAAGATTAGGCCTAGATGCATAAATATATGGGAGGATATGATAAAGGGTTAATAAGCTCGTACACAGTGTAGAATTCTTTCATAACCCTTGTTTCTTGCAGGTTAATGTTCAACATATTCAGAATTCTTGACACCAATTTAATTTGTTATTAAAAAGAAAAGATTCCCCACTACTCCACAAAATATATTTTGTTTTAGTCTTAGTACAAAAATATCCCTTGGTCAACTGACCTGGTCATACGAGCTATATATACCTATTAAATCTGCAAATTAAAAGACAAAAATGGTTAAAGCTGAAAAGATTTCCCACACACATTAGGACTAAATGCAGAAGAAAATCTCACTATTATTCATTAAAACAAAAAATATCATACTATACGTTTGGTAATGGTTTTGTTACTCACCACATTTCTCGCACAAATTACTTTATTATCTCGGACTTGAGCAAAAACCATCTCTTTTGCTCCCTCAATTTCTAGCACACACTGGTAACCATCCTAAGAAAAGTACAAACAGAAACTACTTCAATCAGGTTCGTAACATTTGCTTTGTGAAACCTAAATAAATTACTTTAGTACAGTAAAATTAAACAGAAAGAGTTATCAAATTAATCGCGTGTAACTGACATCATTAGATATGCTAATATTTTTAAGTAAGAAGAAAGATGCGTTTTTTTTTAAGTTCTCCTTATACACTAAATTAGTGTTAGATGTTACAATATGATAAGTAGTATCTAAAACACTACTGTATCTGTCGTATCCCAGCAAATCTGACGTGCCCTGGTAGCGGGCAAAAAGCCCCATTGACATTAGATATGGTGTCACACATTCTTGTTGATTTTCAACCACAAGTTTTTAGAATAAACAACTGATTAATTAAGAGTTCCAAACGAAGGTTTCTTCCATTAGTCAAGCAGTCTTCAATTATTTTTTTAGATTCCAGGAATAAAAAATATTTTTACAAAAGTACTGATCATAATATGAATGGTGGTTGGTCTCACTTATAACATTGCAAGAGTTCATTAGCTAGCCACTAGGGGTCAGAATTTGTATTTATGTCAAAGCTACTAAGGTTATCTACCACCATCCATAATTTTGAACCACTGACCAAAGGGAATGCAGTCAGTCAGCAGCATCCTAACATCCATACTAGGGGACTGACTGTTACTCATATAACACACTCACAGCTTAAAGTGAGGGGAATATTTTGTGGTATCCCATAAATTCGAGCCCAGCTCACAAGTTCTGAAATTCAGAGCTCTACCACATCCCCTATGGATTTGAAAGTTTATTGTAAAAAATAATAATAATAAGAAGAAGAAGAAGAACAACAACAATACTAATAACACTAATAATAACAATAACACTAATAATAACAACAACAATAATAATAACAACAACAACAATACTAATAACACTAATAACAACAACAACAATAATAACACTAACAACAACAATAACAACAATAATAACAACAACAACAACAACAATAATAATAATAATAGATATTAAATTTGATAACTAGTCAAACTTCAAAAGCTGGATGCAATGTTTCACCAGATAAAATGAAGAAAAGTTGATCTACTAACCAGTGGAGTTAGCAAATTTTTCACTTTCACCATAATTTCTTTCTGCACGCCATTAGGAATGAAGATTTCCTCATTCAAGTCGAAGCTTGGGCAGTGATCATGCCCTTTTATTAGGGTGCTGGTGGGATCCTGCATATAGAAACACAAAAATTACAATTATTGTATTTATGATTTCAAGCATGATTTAAATATAAAGATAACCTCAGATGAATTGGCTCTCACATTTTTTTTTATTCATTCAACTCCAATTCTAATACACCAACATTAATAATTAATTGTTGTTGTTGTTTTTCTAACTCACTTTTTCTTAGAAACAATTTTCAAGTAAGGTCTACCAAAGGTTCGACATTTCTTGTCATGGCTGTATTACAAGCAGTTTGTAACTTATACTATGAAATAAGCAGAGGAACCAGGGAGCATTAACCCTCCCCCCCTCATTCCCTACCCCAACCTGTACACCTGGTGGGGACAGGTTAATAATTGTTAATGATTTAAGGCTGCCATATACTATGTATCTGTATTTTATCCAAGATCAGAGGATGAATTGAACCACCGGATGAATTGAACCACCGGATGAATTGAACCACCAGATGAATTGAACCACCAGATGAATTGAACCACCGTATTTTCATATTTGTTTTATAAGCCGGAAATTCATATTTTGAATCACCTATGACAAACAAAACACTGCATTTAAACTATCTTAATACATAAATATTTATACACGTAAACAGTAACTATATATGTAAAAGTTCAAACAGGAAACATCTATTATCCATCCACATAAAAAAAAGAGCCATCTGACAATATGATTCATTAGAATATAAATAAAATTCTTCTTTACATCACATCTGTAAAAAACCTCACCATATAGAAGTTATTTAATCATTTAAACTGTAATAGACGGTTTCATGGTTTTAAAGTACTTTAAAAAATAAAAAGATCATTTCATAATAAGCAAGTTATGTACTGAATCAAACATGAAACCATTTGTACAGAAACAAATTTAGTTGCTATAGAAATAATTATCCAAACTTACACTTTCTCCAACAATCGTTCTTCTCGAACAGAGTGATGCATTATGGGTACACAGGTTCTGATGAACGCACCAACTGCAGGCCCAGGAAGTTGTTACACAAGCTTTACATCTACACCAAGCAAACCAAGTTTATGTTCCTTAAACTTTTAACTTAGATACATCGTCTGGACATATATAAATAATAAATATATGTATATATATTATATATATATATATAGGTGTATATGTATATATGTATATTGTGATTATCTTGTCCTGTAAACTGGAAACTAGGTTGTCTACAATAGCCTTGACTGGCTCAATGAAGGCACTTTGAGTAATCCAGAAATTGTTTATTAAACACATAAAGACAATTAATAAACACTGGACAAATGATATTTGTATGTGAGTGACAAATATAGTCAGGAACCAGTAGATGAAAACATACCGCTTGTAACTAAGTGGTGATAATGTAGCCAAAGCACTACAAAAAAAACTTTTTTAAGTTGGGAGAGAAGTGTTTATACGGCACAGCTCAGCATACATCAGTGTCGCATGTTTACAACATAACATTATGTCCCAAGCCAATCAACAATAAACTCCTAGCTCATCCAATAACATGTGACTCTTACGTTACATCATACACTAGAGGAAGCAGGAAGTTTGTAAGTTATTATTATTAACATAATATGTGTAATGATATGATAATTATATGATAATTATATGTAATATGATAATTTATGTAATGATATGATAATTATATGTAATATGATAATTTGTGTAATGATATGATAATTATATGTAATATGATAACTTATGTAATTGTATGATAATTTATGTAATGATATGAGAATATATGTAACGTTTACATGCCAGCAGATGTCTGCATCTGAAGGAAGAAATAATGATAACTCCTTATACATAAATTAAATTTTATGCAGACTGATCAACAAAGCTGAAATTTCACGTTTATCTTTAGCCCACACTTTCAGCATTATCATTAGGTTCAAAAACAGCTTTACAAACACTAAACTCTCGTGTATCTTACTTTATAAACACACACACTTACCTTCTATGTACGCCACAGTCGTAGAAAGTAAACGGCCGACTGATGAAGTCGGTGTCCGTTTCACTCGACCGAACGGCAAGATTCACTTTCACATGATCTATAACAAACAACAGAAAATTTTGATACATCAGAATCTGTAAAAAAACTCCACAGTTTGTAAAACACTTACTTTTACACAATGATACTATTTCTCTTACTTTCACTAAATCGCTACTGGTTTAAGAAGGAAGAGTAGGGAATTATTCCCTCTAGTGATGCCGAACAGAATCAATCATTAGGCTGCCAATGGATAAGATTTGGTTACTTAGCATCCCAGCAATTTAAAGATATTTAATTTGTTTCAAAAAATTTAAGTAGTATTTATCTTCCAACTGAAAACCTTTGTAGAATGAACATGAAACATTAACTATACATTTGTACTTGTGGTACAACAAACAAGAAACATTAACTGTACGTTTGTAGTTGTGGTACAACAAACAAGGAACATTAACTGTACGTTTGTACTTGTGGTACAACAAACAAGGAACATTAACTATACGTTTGTACTTGTGGTACAACAAACAAGGAACATTAACTGTACGTTTGTACTTGTGGTACAACAAACAAGAAACATTAACTATACGTTTGTACTTGTGGTACAACAAACAAGGAACATTAACTGTACGTTTGTACTTGTGGTACAACAAACAAGAAACATTAACTATACGTTTGTAGTTGTGGTACAACAAAACAAGGAACATTAACTATACGTTTGTACTTGTGGTACAAC